CTGCCACACTGTTCCCACACATCCTCATCAGCACTGGTTTTTCAGACTTTCTTTCTTTCTTTTTTTGTAATAGCCATTTTATTCTTTCTCTTTATTCTCCCCCCTCTCTTTCTCTCTCTCTCTCTCCTCTCTTATTAAAGGTCTCTCTAGGTAGCCTAGGCTGGCCTCAAACTCTCCAGTTTCTTGCCTCAGCTTCCAAAGTACTGAGCCTGGGATTCCAGCATGGACCTGCCATACCTGCCTCAACAACAGCTCTCCTTACATATCTCACCATGGTTATAACTTGTTTTCCTGGTGACTAAGGCCATCTGTGTCTCTGAAGAACATCTCTTTAACTCCTTCCCCATTTTCTAGTCAGGTTATTTGATTTTCTTATTATTAAGCTCTTTGAATCTCTTACATCTTGGGGAATTAACCCCTTACCATGTAGTTTTCAAATATATCAGTCTTAATATTTCTATTTTATCGCGACTTTCTATTGCTGTGATAAAACACCATGACCAAAAGTGACATGGGGAGGGAAGAACTTACCTCAGGTTAGAACTCTCAGGTTGCACTCCATCGAGTGAAATCAAGGTGGGACAATGAGGCAGGAGCTGAAGCAGAAGCCATGGATGGGTGCTGCTTATGGACTTGTTCCTCATGGCTCGCTCAACCTGCTTTCTTATAGACTCTAGGACCACCTGCTCAGAATGGATGGCCTGGGCCATCTCACATCAACCCTTAGCCAAGGAAATGAACCACAAGTTTGCCCACAGGTCGGGAAGGTGGAGCATTTACTTGTTGAGGTTCCTCCTTCTTCTCAAACAGACTCTGTCAAGTTTACAAAAAGCTAGGCAAAACACTTGCTCCCATTTTATAGGTTGTTTCTTTTGCTTTCTTGGTGGTCTCCTTTGCAGTGTAGATTTCTAGTTGAAGGCATTTCAGTGGTTAAGTTTTGCTATTGTTGCCTGCAATTTGGGGATCGTATTTAAAAAAAAAAACTTTCCCAGAAATATCAATGATCTTCCCAACTCTCTTCTGACAGTTTTATAATTTCAGATCTTACATTTAGAACCTTATCCATTTTGATAGATTTCTGTAGTGTGTAAGGTCTAACTTTATTCTCTGCCTATGGATATCTAGTTTTCTGAGTACTGCCATTAAAGACTGTCCAAAGCAACTTTCTAATAGAGTTGTTCAAAGAGATATATGCCGAATTTCTATAAGTAGGGCCCACAACACATGTACAGAGGGCACAAGGCAAGAGAGTAAGGTGAAGCCTGATGTTGACAGGCCAGGGATGCCAGGATGAGAAACAGATAATTCTGTGGGAATCAGGGTGAAAGCTTTCCAAAAGGAGCCTCTCTCTTCCATCATTCTTGGGTGCATTTTGATTGATTGATTGATTGATTGATTGACTGATTGATTGATTGATTGACAGGGTCTCACATACATAATACATAAGTCTGGCTTCAAACTGCCTGTGTAGCTGAGGATGGCCTTAATATCCTTGCTACCACACTCTCATTCCCCATCACTCCACTTCTAGGATTACAGTCAGTCACTGCCATGTCTTTGTGCTGAACCCAGGGCCTTGTGTATGCCTAGCCAGAACTCCACCAAGTGAGCTACAGCCACAGTGCCTTTCCCATGCTTCTTTAGTGACAACAGCCACAACTTTTCACCGTGCAAAATGAAGACTCTGTCTCCTGCAGCTGGGTGTAGTCATTTTGCTAAGTTCCCATTAATGAATATAAATGAAACAATGTGGGTTTTTTGCTGTTTTTGTTCGGCCTATAATGTCCTAAATAGACCAGGTTGGCCTCCAGTTTATAGCATTCATCCTATCTCTGCCTCCTAAAGACTGGGATTACAAGAATGTGCCAACATGCTTCCTTCTTTCTTTCTTTTTTCTTCCTTCCTTTCTATTCATGCCATCAGTGCTACCACATCTCCAGGAACACTACCCTGGAGCAAGGGTGAAACACAGGTGAGCTGTGGAAAAAGGAATCGCCAAAGGTACAGCCAGTTTAGAACAGTTTGGATGACTAGACAAGTGAGGCAATATTTGAGTGTGGCTGCTCATGCCTGTAACTCCAGCACGCAGGAGTCTGCAGGCTCAAGAATTCCAGTCAAGTCCAGTCTGGACTTCAAGGTTAGTCTAGGCTACATAGCACAACTCTCTCACATATATATATATGTTCTTATTTTACATATGATCCCAGTTCCCTTCCCCTCTCCCTCCCTCCCTCCCTTCCTCCCTCCCTCCTTCCCTCCCATGACTCTCTTTTAAAGGGATGAGGGGCCTGGAGATGGTTCAGAAGTTAAAAGCACTTACTGTACAACCAGAAGGAACAGAGTTCAGATCCTAGCCCAGGTCCAACAAATCAGAGTTCTGTGCTTTCCTAGAACTTCAGCTCTAAGGGTGGCAGAGGCAGGAGGATAACTGGGAGCTTGCTGACTTCTAACCTAGTCAAGCAATTGCTGGCCCTGGGTTCAGGAAGAGACCCTGCCTCGGGGGAACAGAAAAGGCATACACAAAGTCCTGGGTTCAGCCAAGTCAGGTGGCATACACCTATAATTCTCTCCTTTGTGTGGTGGAGTCAGGAAGATTAGGAATTCAAGGCCATCTTTAGCTACATAGAGAGTCCAAGACCAATCTAAAACAAAACAAAAAATAATTTCAAAAGCCTTGATAAGGGGTTGGAGAGAGGCTCTGTGGGTTAGAGTTCAGATCCCAGCTCCTGCTCAAAGAGTTGGGTGTGGCAGTGCACTCCTGTAACCCCAGGGCTGTGGTGCAGAGAACAAGAGGATCGCTTCTAGTTATTGGTCACCAGCCTAGCTCTAGGTTCAGTGAGAGGCCCTGTTTAAAGGAATAAGGCAGAGAATGATAGAACAGGAAAGCTGGCATCCTCTGGCCTCCCTCCACAAAAGTACACACACACACACACACACACACACACACACACACACAGAAAACAAATACACAAAAATAGTAATTGTTTAATGCCTAGATTTAGAAGAAGGGGATAAGCAAGGTGCAGTGACACATTCCCGTAATCAGAAAGTAGAGGCTGTGAGTTCAAGGCCTGCTTGGGCTACATAGTAATAATCTGTCAAAAAATAATAAGGAAACAAGAACACAGCTGTTGGTAGTGTCGGAAGTAGAAGAAAGGACAGGATTATCACTACAACTGATCAAATGAGAGAAGACAGAAGACTCACAAGGCTCACAGAGGCACACAATGGTGGTCACAGGCAGGAGGGAGCCAATCATACACTCTGTTCTGATATACCGAGCTGAGATGCTGCAGGGTGTCTGGGTGCAAGTGTACACTGGACAGTTGGAAACGCATTTATGGTGCATGACTTAAGTCTTTTTGCATAAAAGTAACAGACTAAGCAAACAGAGGAAGAGGTATTTGGAAATGAAGAGCACGGGTCTGTAAAAATCACTCATCCTTGCACACTGAGTGATAAACCATGTTCTGGGAAACAAGATGAAGATATGTACATGTCCTTTGTCTAATGTACTCACCACCAATAAGCCCCTACTTCAACAAGCTCTACACAACCGCTAAATGGCTTCAAGTGAGGAACTTTTCCCTTTCTCAAAAACTGAACATCTTTAAGTTCCTCATGAGAGCATCTTGATTTGCACACAGGTATCTGTGATGGCATGCTTTAAGATTACTTTTCTGCACATTGTTTTCACCTTTAATTTAGCCACACCTAAGACTTTCTCAGGCATCTGGGTGGGGGTGGGGTAGCTCCTTTCAAAAGCAGGATGAGAAAAATGTAATAAGTAAGATGCACATTAGATGACTGCAAAGGTTTCCCTTCGGTTTTCTGTGGCCAAAGAAGATACTAAACACTTTAAAAAAAAAATCCATTAAATGTAACCACAGTCTTTCAGATTGACCAAATTCGTGGCTGTGCTATTGCCCTGCCAAGTCTGCCCTGGGAGGAGGTGGTTAAAATCCTGTGACTCGTGTTTCTGCTGAGATTAAGTGGCAGACACGCCACCGAAAGTGATGGCATCAGAGCTCTGCTTCTCTGGGAGAGTTTTGCGTCTCCAGCAAACACCAGGCTGTTGCCAAGAGGCCGAGGTGAGGTGGGGTGGGGTGGGGTGGGGGCACGGGGATGGGGGACCCTCCCAGTGAGCTGGTGCGTGCAGTGGTGCAGCCTTGACACTGCAGCCCACCGGGGGTCCCCGGTCACTTAAGAGTAAAGCTCTGCTAGAGTCCTGTGCGTGCACGGTGTGAGACTTTTCTCATCCACCCACTCCTTTGTCTCTCCATCGAAGCAAGTTTCACCTCACGGAAGTCCACAGGACCTTTGGAAGAAAGGATTTTCCGCAGAAGGGAGGGTGGACCGTCCCAGGCACAAAGCCGAGGACGGGCACCAACTTCCGAGGGTCTCTCTCGTCCACCGACCGGGGTGAAGAACACCACGGCGTTCCACGCGCACCCCGAGGCCTGGACTGTGCGCAGCACGGAGAAGTCCCGGTGGCTGTCTTTCAAGCCGCACCTCCGCCCGCACCCCTGGCAGCCGCTTCGGTTAGCCAGGACGGGAAACGACAGGGCGACACGATTGGCCTACAGCAGCACGCCCCGCAGTCTAGGGAGAGCCCCGCCTTCCAGTCTCACTCCCTTTGCAGTGCCTCCGGGAGGGCGGGAGAGGGCGGGGCCTGGGAAAGGCGGGGCACCGACTTTCAGGGCTATGATTGGTCTTAATCTCGGGGGTGGGGAGACATGGGCGGAGCGGGCTCCGGTCCGTCCCTCCTTCCTAGGCTGCAGCCTCCCGCGCGCCTCCTGCGTTGCATCATCTCCAGCCTGCAGCGTCTCTGAAAGAAGGCTGGGCGCGGCGTGGTCTGTTCAGCCTTCGCTCCAATCGACAACCCACGTCTTTCTTCATCTTTCTGGAAATTGTCCCCATAGGGACCGCAGAGCTCCTGAGCCGCAGCTGGCGCAGGTCACTGTCTCCACCTGATCCATTCATTGCAATCCGGCCTTTTCTCCGAGTCCAAGTTCCTTGCGTGCTGCAGCTTGGAGCGGCCGGCAGAGACATGGAGAAGAGCAGCGAGACCAACGGCTACCTCGACGGCACCCAGGCGGAGCCTGAGGCCGGGCCCCGCACGCCCGAAACGGCGGCTGGCAAAGCGCGGCGCTGCGCTGACTTTTTTCGGCGCCAGGCGCTGGTGCTGCTCACTGTGTCGGGGGTGTTAGTGGGAGCCGGTATGGGCGCGGCGCTGCGCGGGCTGCAGCTCACCCGCACTCAAGTCACCTACCTGGCCTTCCCAGGCGAGATGCTACTCCGCATGCTGCGCATGATCATCCTGCCGCTGGTGGTTTGCAGCCTGGTATCGGGCGCCGCCTCCCTGGACGCCAGCTCCCTCGGGCGTCTGGGCGGCATCGCTGTCGCTTACTTCGGCCTCACCACGCTGAGCGCCTCTGCGCTCGCGGTCGCTTTGGCGTTCATCATCAAGCCAGGGGCGGGCGCGCAGACCCTCCAGTCCAGCAGCCTGGGGTTGGAGGACTCGGGGTCTCCTCCGGTCTCCAAAGAGACGGTGGACTCTTTCCTCGACTTACTAAGGTAAATGCTCTCCACTTTGCCAAAGGCACGGAGGGAGACGCCACAGGCACTCATCTCGCCTAGAGTTAATTCAGCTACAGTTGACCTTTAATGTTAAAATATAAAAATTAAGTCCGGGCTGCATGCTGGCCACACCTTTACTGACTGGAGGCCAGAGCTTTCTGCTGGAACTGGTTTTCCGTTAGGTGGGGGTTTTAATCTGCTTCCCCACTGTGCTCTACTTACACGTGGGCTGCTCTCACTATTTTTATTTAATCGTTCCCATCATGACTCTTCATTTTCTCTCCTACTGTATCCTAAAGAGTCTATCTGGCACATCGGGTGACTTTTGCCTGTGGAGTCATCCAGCTTTCAGTCTGAGGCTTCCTTTGGGCAGTTGGCAGTCTTTTGCAGAATTGTGGGTGTGTCCAATAATAATAAGCTTGGAGTTAGTTATATGGAGCACGTCGCCCCAATACGTGACTGTCCCTTGGGCTTGGAACAGGTTCTGACTCGGTCAGGACCACTGCCTAGCGCTGTTTCTTTGTAGGAAGATGTGAGTTCCAGGGTGTTGAAAGACAAGTCTTCACTTGGGTTTGCTTGTTTTTTTTTCCCCCACTGGGAAGTTGTATTTTATCCTCTGAGATGATAGAGTTTGTTTCTAGAGCTTCACCTCTCCGTTTATGCACTAATCCAAAGTTCACACATGGGAAAACAGCAGCCTGCAGGCGTTTTCTAACCTAACCCGGTTCATTTGAGTGAGGAGTCCAGCTGGCTCCCCTTCAGGCTTTCTGTGCCATAATGGTATGTTTTGTCTTGAGTCACTGGGCAAAGCTCTTCATTGCTGAGGTGGTAAAAACCAGAAAACTCTGGGCCAGTGACTTGCCTTTCTCCTGTTTCCATGTCTTCATCTGGAAAATGTGACAACTGTCTGCCACTTAAGAAAGAGATTGTTCATCTTTAAAAAAAAAAATTAAAACTTGAGACATGGTATTAGAAAAAAAATCTGATGAGAAAAACCAAAAAAATCTTGCAAACAGAGCAAGTGGAGACAGCCTGCAGGGATTTCAACGGGGCTGTGGCCTTGGTCCCTGTGCAGCAGCTTGGTGGTTAGAGTTTTAAGGTTTGAGAAATAACTGCAGATGGGTTTAGAGGAAGAGACCCTGCTGAGGCTTATATATCGGGTCAGCTCCTTCAGGGAGGGAGGCAATTAGGGAGTCAGGATTCTCCTTTTGGAGTGATCTGAGGGAGTCTTAATAGTGTTTTTCCATCTCTGCAAAAGGAACTGACCAGAAATTGGGGGCTTCAGGAGTGAAATACACTTCATTGTCACCATCCAGAGAAAGGACTTACTACTGTTCTACAGCTGTAGTCTTATCCCCAAGCCCTTCTTCAGCTCCTGCTTTCCAAGTGAATGACCCAGTGTCATGGCTTAAGGGTCCATGTAAGTGTAACTACTCAGTGACAAGGGTCACGCCTGTCACATATGTATGGAAGTGCTCTCTCTGGCCTGTTAGGGTGGAATAGTATTTTCTAAGGCTTCTCCCAACTTGCTCCACTTGATCTGCAGCTCTAGATAAAGGCTTCTAGGCAGTACAATCCTGCTTCCAACCTAGGAAACCTAGGACACTCAGGAGGCAGAAACCAGAGCATTTCCAGTTTGAGACCAGCCAGGGCTACTAGTGACATCTTAGCCAAGGATGGAGTTTATAGTTTAGTGGTAGAGCACTTGCCTGGCATGTTTAAGGCCGAGTTTGATCCTCATCACCGGGGATGGGGTGGGGTTAGGAGAACAATGGGTCTTCTGCCCATGGTTCATGGCTATTTTTCTTGCTCATTCCCCAAGGCAACATGTATAATAATGGTATTACATGGCTGGTCTAATGCCACTGTCTCAGAAATGTTTGCTTTAAGCAAAAGGGGAACTAAGAAGAGGAACCACTGTCCAGCCAGGTCTGTGACCACTCCTTCCAAGCAGGCATTTGGATGAAGCACTAAGGCAGAAGAACATATGCCTGTATCTGCTCAGATTTGGATTGATTTCAGTAGCTTAACAGGAAACAGGCCCAAGCTACCCGGAAGTGCTTTCTGAACCTAGGGGGTCTCTAGGTCAATTTTTTTTTCTTTTCATTTTTTTAAAGACAAGATTTCACACTCTGGCCCTGGCTCTCTTGGAACTCACTCCATAGCTTAGGCTGGCCTCAAGCTTGAAAATACACGCATGCATACTGTTATCAACAGCACCAGCAGTTCAAGTCTCACATCTCAGCCCTTCCTCAGCTTCCATCCTTATAGGGTGCCAAGATCTTCAAGGACAAATCTTTGTTAACTAGCTCTGAGAAAATAAACACTAGGACTAATAAATCCTTAGTAGATATACATACCATGCTTTATCCTGTTCTGGATTCTTTGAAGTTTCTACAGACGTAGTAAAGAAGTTTTGAACTTAAATAAAAGGAAATACTTCTAAAGCAACAACAAAAAAGAGCAAAAGTTCATTATTTTATATTCTTATATAGAATGGGGGAATATGTACCACCCTTGACAATAGATCAGAAGGACAAACGGTACCAGGTGTGCAGAAGAAACGTTTTGAAGTTCTCCACACTGAGCTCTGGGTCTGAAGCACCCCAGCTGAGTTCTCCATTTCCAGTCCAGATGTGCCTCACGCCTGTTCTCCTGTTTAAATAAGGCAGCCAAGATTTGCACTGTACTGTCAAGGCTTGTGCATTCAAAGTTACTGAGTCTCTGGATCACATAGTACACTCACTCAGCATTTTCCTATTTTCATTTTGGCCCATAATAAGACATATTTTTTATAGTGTGGCATCTACATAATATACTTCCCTGCCCACATACACAAATCACAGCAAGTTACAACAAACTCCAATTTAAGTGTGGTACACGATCATTTCTAAAATGCTGGTAAAGCCAATAATTGATTTTGTAGCCAATTCATGTGTGAGACACTTTGGTCTAATGTGTAAACAGTGTTCTGTAACTCAAGGCAAATTGGAATTAAACAACAGAAAGAAGAGATAGATGGAAAGCTGACAAAGAGTCCCAGGGCTGGGCATGATGTTGCACGCCTGTAACTGCAGCTGTTGGAAAGCAGAGACAGGAGGATTGGCTACATGAAAGTGGATCTCAAAAAACAAACCAAAACTCACAACACCACTGTGCTCAGGGAGACCTAGTATGTCTAGAGATGAGTCCATAAGACTATTTGGTATTTCAGGTTCTGGGTCTCAGAACTGCATGTGTGTCCTACTCAGTAGGAATATATACTAGCCATGTGTAGTTATTTAAATGAAATTAGGGCCAGGGATGTAGCTCAGTTGGTAGAGGGCTTGCTTAGAATGCCAAAAGCCCACGGTTTGACCCCAGCACTGCATAAATTGGATATAGTAGCACTTGCCTGTGATCCTTGCACTTGGAAGGAGCAAAAGTTCTAGGCCATCCTTAGATACATAGTCAAAGCTAGAGTAAGATACATGAGATCCCACCTCAAAATAGAATAATAAATTTACTTTAAAAGTAAGTAAAATTTCATTTCCTCAGTTGCATTGTAAACTGATTGCCAATGTCTGGTCTAGGTGTTTCCGGGTTATTGTTCAATTCCTCTTATTTGAGGAATTAAAAGTTTATACTGATCTACAAAGTAGCAAGGAAACTATTCAAAAGCCAAGTGATGGTACCAATCAGAAGGAAAACAGCCAGCCACATGAGTGAGGTTACTCAAGGGCTCTGGTTACTGTTGGAGACTTCCTTTGGTGGGATTCAGGAGAAAGAAGGAGGGCCTGAAAAGACAGCTCACCAGGCCAGAGCACATACTGAACTACTGAAGAATACAGTATCCAAATAGTAGCCTTCACCATCTGTAACTCCTGGTTTACAGGATTCAATATCCTCTTCTAGACTCTTCAGGCAGCAGGCACACATAGGATACACATACATACAGACAAAACACTCATGCACGAAAAATATATTAATAAATAAGATAGAGGAGTTTGATTGCTAAGGTGCATAGCATGGGTGGTTCTGTTTTAACTTAGTCTTTTGATTGACGTTAATGAGTGATACGTGGGGCTATTAGGAATAATGCTATGTAAATCTTTGTTCATTGTGCATATTCTTTTCCTCCTTTAATTTTTATTATATGTATTTCCAATTAAGCATAGGTATAAGATGGTAAGTGGGTTTTCCCCTAAAAATTCATGCTGATGACACAGTTTGTCTTATGCTCGTGCACATAAACTAGTTCTGGAGAAATTGGATCTCTTACCCTGTTACAGGATGTATTGAAAATACATCTGAATAGACCTGTTTGTGTTCGATGTTCATTGAGGGGAGGAGAAGCTTAGTCCATTGTTTGTAGTGGAATGTGATGTAGCTTGATGCAGGTGGAGAAGGACTTGGGTTGCTAGCAGATTGCCAGGTGCATTGTTCAGAGGAATATGTGTATATAGGATATGCAGGTAAAGGGCCTAGGCTATCAAGTGCATTATTAGAAGATGGAAGTGTGTATACCCCAAACAAATGGAATCCCAAGTTGCAAAGCTATGCTTGCCTGCTTCCAAAAGTGTCGGGTAACCACAGTCACCATTGGGCAACAAACAAATACTTCTACTGGACAGGGCTAGTCCAGGTAAAGCACAAAGGGAAGGAAATTATGACTCTGAGCCTTGGGAAAGTGAAAAGCCACCTTCAGAATCCCTTCCAGCTCGGTGCCCTCTATGTTGAAAGCCCACAAAGCTGGGAAAGAACCTACAGACAAAGCTTAGAAGGAACGGAACTGCTTGCCTGGCAAGCAGCTGTTGCTGGAGCACAGGAGTGCCCGGGCTAAGATAAGTATCTGTTGGAAACCAAAGGCTGTTTTTCCTCGCAGCCTCAGCTCCATCCTGGGAGCCAGCCAGAGGGAGGTCCTCCAACCCCTGGTGCCTAGCAGCTAAGGCACTGAATGAAAGAAGTAGGTTTTAGGTGAGTCCACAATGGGGCTTGAAGAGGCTGGCGGGGGAAGT